CATTCCCCTCTTTGCCTCCAAGGACAAAGTTCTTTGTCTCCACAGACTCCTAAGTGCACCACTCACTCTTTTCCCCTCATCAATTCTATGATTCACTTCATCTTTCATAGACCCATCCGCTGACACGTCCACTCCCAAATATCTGAATACATTCACCTCCTCCATACTCTCTCCCTCCAATCTGATATTCAATCTTTCATCACCTAATCTTTTTGTTATCCTCATAACCTTACTCTTTCCTGTATTCACCTTTAATTTTCTTCTTTTGCACACCCTACCAAATTCATCCACCAATCTCTGCAACTTCTCTTCAGAATCTCCCAAGAGCACAGTGTCATCAGCAAAGAGCAGCTGTGACAACTCCCACTTTGTGTGTGATTCTTTATCTTTTAACTCCACGCCTCTTGCCAAGACCCTCGCATTTACTTCTCTTACAACCCCATCTATAAATATATTAAACAACCACGGTGACATCACACATCCTTGTCTAAGGCCTACTTTTACTGGGAAAAAATTTCCCTCTTTCCTACGTACTCTAACTTGAGCCTCACTATCCTCATAAAAACTCTTCACTGCTTTCAGTAACCTACCTCCTACAACCATAACACTGCAAACATCTGCCACATTGCCCCCCTATCCACCCTGTCATATGCCTTTTCCAAATCCATAAATGCCACAAAGACCTCTTTAGCCTTATCTAAATACTGTTCACTTACATGTTTCACTGTAAACACCTGGTCCACACACCCCCTACCTTTCCTAAAGCCTCCTTGTTCATCTGCATCCTATTCTCCGTCTTACTCTAATTCTTTCAATAATAACTCTACCATACACTTACCAGGTAACTCAGCAGACTTATCCCCCCTATAATTTTTGCACTCTCTTTTATCCCCTTTGCCTTTATACAAAGGAACTATGCATGCTCTCTGCCAATCCCTAGGTACCTTACCCTCTTCCATACATTTATTAAATAATTGCACCAACCACTCCAAAACTATATCCCCACCTGCTTTTAACATTTCTATCTTTATCCCATCAATCCCGGCTGCCTTACCCCCTTTCATTTTACCTACTGCCTCACGAACTTCCCCCACACTCACAACTGGCTCTTCCTCACTCCTACAAGATGTTATTCCTCCTTGTCCTATACACGAAATCACAGCTTCCCTATCTTCATCAACATTTAACAATTCCTCAAAATATTCCCTCCATCTTCCCAATACCTCTAACTCTCCATTTAATAACTCTCCTCTCCTATTTTTAACTGACAAATCCATTTGTTCTCTAGGCTTTCTTAACTTGTTAATCTCACTCCAAAACTTTTTCTTATTTTCAACAAAATTTGTTGATAACATCTCACCCACTCTCTCATTTGCTCTCTTTTTACATTGCTTCACCACTCTCTTAACCTCTCTCTTTTTCTCCATATACTCTTCCCTCCTTGCATCACTTCTACTTTGTAAAAACTTCTCATATGCTAACTTTTTCTCCCTTACTACTCTCTTTACATCATCATTCCACCAATCGCTCCTCTTCCCTCCCACACCCACTTTCTTGTAACCACAAACTTCTGCTGAACACTCTAACACTACATTTTTAAACCTACCCCATACCTCTTCGACCCCATTGCCTATGCTCTCATTAGCCCATCTATCCTCCAATAGCTCTTTATATCTTACCCTAACTGCCTCCTCTTTTAGTTTATAAACCTTCACCTCTCTCTTCCCTGATACTTCTATTCTCCTTGTATCCCATCTACCTTTTACTCTCAGTGTAGTTACAACTAGAAAGTGATCTGATATATCTGTTGCCCCTCTATAAACATGTACATCCTGAAGTCTACTCAACAGTCTTTTATCTACCAATACATAATCCAACAAACTACTGTCATTTCGCCCTACATCATATCTTGTATACTTATTTATCCTCATTTTCTTAAAATATGTATTACCTATAACTAAACCCCTTTCTATACAAAGTTCAATCAAAGGGCTCCCATTATCATTTACACCTGGCACCCCAAACTTACCTACCACACCCTCTCTAAAAGTTTCTCCTACTTTAGCATTCAGGTCCCCTACCACAATTACTCTCTCACTTGGTTCAAAGGCTCCTATACATTCACTTAACATATCCCAAAATCTCTCTCTCTCCTCTGCATTCCTCTCTTCTCCAGGTGCATACACACTTATTATGACCCACTTCTCGCATCCAACCTTTACTTTAATCCACATAATTCTTGAATTTACACATTCATATTCTCTTTTCTCCTTCCATAACTGATCATTCAACATTACTGCTACCCCTTCCTTTGCTCTAACTCTCTCAGATACTCCAGATTTAATTCGATTTATTTCCCCCCACTGAAACTCCCCTACCCCCTTCAGCTTTGTTTCGCTTAGGGCCAGGACATCAAACTTCTTTTCATTCATAACATCAGCAATCATCTGTTTCTTGTCATCCGCACTACATCCACGCACATTTAAGCATCCCAGTTTTATAAAGTTTTTCTTCTTCTCTTTTTTAGTAAATGTCTACAGGAGAAGAGGTTACTAACCCATTGCTCCCGTCATTTTAGTCGCCTCATACGACACGCATGGCTTACGGAGGAAAGATTCTTTTCCACTTCCCCATGGACAATAGAAGAAATAAAGAAGAACAAGAGCTATTTAGAAAAAGGAGAAAAACCTAGATGTATGTATATATATATATGCATGTGTGTGTCTGTGAAGTGTGACCTAAGTGTAAGTAGGAGTAGCAAGATATCCCTGTTATCTAGCATGTTTATGAGACAGAAAAAGAAAACAGCAATCCTACCATCATGCAAAACAGTTACAGGTTTCTGTTTCACAGTCATCTGGCAGGACGGTAGTACTTCCCTGGGTGGTTGCTGTCTACCATATATATATATATATATGTGTGTATATATATGCTTGAGGGGTTTGGGATATTGGCAGTTTGGAGGGATATGTTGTGTATCTTTATATGTATATGCTTCTAAACTGTTGTATTCTGAGCACCTCTGCAAAAACAGTGATAATGTGCGAGTGTGGTGAAAGTGTTGAATGATGATGAAAGTATTTTCTTTTTGGGGATTTTCTTTCTTTTTTGGTTCACCCTGCCTTGGTGGGAGATGGCCGACTTGTAAAAAAAAAAAAAAAAAAAAAAAAAAAAAAAAAAAAAAAAAAAAAAAAAAAAAAAAAAAAAAAAAAAAAAAAAAAAAAAAAGTATGTGCAGTGTGACCTAAGTGTAAGTAGAAGTAGCAAGATATACCTGAAACCTTGCATGTTCATGAGACAGAAAAATGGACACCAGCAATCCTACCATCATGTAAAACAATTACAGGCTTTCGTTTTACACTCACTTGGCAGGATGGTAGTACCTCCATGGGTGGTTGCTGTCTACCAACCTACTACCCAGAGAATACTCTGTTATACTTTAATAATTACTTGTACAAAATTCAAGGAATTAACAGGGTAAATACATCTGGATTAATAAGTCAAGGTATGCAGAGTTAGAGAGACATTAATTGCCAAACAACACAGGTGAGGAGAATTAAATAAGGAATAGGAATATATGAAGATTTTTTTTTTCAACAAGTAGGCCGTCTCCCACCGAGGCAGGGTGACCGAAAAAGAAAGAAAATCCCCAAAAAGAAAATAGTTTCATCATCATTCAACACTTTCACCTCACTCACACGTAATCACTGTTTTTGCAGAGGTGCCCAGAATACAACAGTTTAGAAGTATATACGTATAAAAAATACACAATATATCCCTCCAAACTGCCAATATCCCAAACCCCTCCTTTAGAGTGCAGGCATTGTACTCCTCATTTCCAGAACTCAAGTAAGGTTATATAAAATAACCGGTTTCCCTGAATCCCTTCACTAAATATTACCCTGTTCACACTCCAACAGCTCGTCAGGTCCCAAATACCATTTGTCTCCATTCACTCCTATCTAACACGCTCACGCAAGCTTGCTGGAAGTCCAAACCCCTCGCCCACAACACCTCCTTTACCCCTTCCCTTCAACCTTTTCGAGGATGACCCCTACCCCGCCTTCCTTCCCTTATGGATTTATACGCTCTCCATATCATTCTACTTTGATCCAAAGATATAGATGCAAATTAAAATGAACCAGCTAAACCTAGAAATAACTACCAGAAAAACTCCAGAACTCTAATTTATCAAAATCTAAAATCTTATCTGAAATTCTGGCTGCCATGTGATCCTACAACTTCAATCACTGACCAATCTTTACCAAAACACTACATGTGTCCACTATTGCAAAGGGTACAAATCTCAGACATATCAAACTTTTCAACAAAAATGAGCATTTGAAAATAAACAGAAAAATAAGCAAAATGTAAATGGGACAGGCAGTTAAAGAACTGAAGGAACATATAATTAAAATTTAATTTAACCTTGAGAGTAACACTGACAGTATTATACAGTTTTAAACTATACCTATTTTTACAGAAATAATGTTCTTTTACTCTGATATTCACACATGTCAAATCAACACAAATGGTTTATACTTGAAAACATGCATTTTAATATATACTGTATTAAAAACAATATTAATTACTGCCACTTGAATATAATTATAGTAGAAAATTTGGTATTATGAACATTATACAGTACATGCTGATTTGAAAAACTTTGTAACTGATTTTCCCCTAAGGAAGGTTCCTTGATGTTGGTGAGGGGCTCTTGATTTAGGGAATTGGATCTGTGCTCCAGTTCCCCGAATTAAGCCTGAATGCCGTCCACATCCCCCCCAGGCGCTGTATAATCCTCCAGGTTTAGCGCTTCCCCCTTGATTATAATAATAATAATGTAACTGATTTTAATAAAATAGGAAAAACTATACTGTACTGTCTTTTAAAATTACAGCAACAATTTTAAATAAAACTGAAGAAAATTTGAAATCTAGGCAAAAATTTAAGGTTACCCATCTTACAAAATAAATTTAAAAAACAAATTACTAGTCTCACCTTTGTCCATATCTACAGGGTGGGAGTAGCATCCATCTAACTTGACATAGTCGACACCCCAGTCACCAAAGGTTTGAGCGTCTGTCTGCAGGTGACCTAAAATGCCAGGATAACCTGCACATGTGAAGTTTCCATAATCCTCATAAATGCCAAACTTTAGGCCACGTTTATGCATCTGGAAGAGACACAAAAGTAAAAAAATGTAAAATTAGATATAGCAAGTACTGGTTCTACTCTGAACATCTTAAGTTGGAATGTAGCAAGTAAGAACATCCTTAGTCAGGAACCTAGTATACTGTACTCCAAATTATCATAATTATCTTACAAGAAATCAGTCTCTATTTACAGAGGGGTTGCCTCTTATTCAGACTAGTTTATACTTTTATTTAAAAATATCATCCTAAGAGAAATTTCAAATTGAAAATTTCTGAATAATTTTACTTATTCATAAAAGTAAAAATTTAAAAAAAATTTTAAATTTATAATTTCTACTTTGAATTTAAGAGAATAATCAGAACTGAAAAATTTAGTCGATTTTCTTAAACTTCTTATGAAAAAAAAAAAAAAAAAAAAAAAAAATAATTACTGATTTTCCAAAATTTAATTACAGAAATTACCAAAAATCAGAAAGTTCAAACTTTATGAGATAATTGACAAGTCATTCTTTTATAATCAAAATTTAATTGAATTGCCTTATGATACTGTATGACTCTACATTAGCTCTTTATTTCATAAATTAAACAATGGATACTGAGGCACTGCACATACATAGTCAGCCAGAGCAGCAATACCAGATGGAAATCGAAAAGGATCAGGCTGAAGTCTCCCACGAGCGTCACGCTCTCTGGAAAGCCAGCAATCATCCAGAGACACTAAGTCATACCCAAGATCACGGTAGCCTTGAGTCACTATGATGTCTGCCATTTGCATGAACAGTGACTCGCTGTTGAAGAAAAATACATTTTAAAATTAATGTTAAAATTATGTACAGTGGAACCCCCCCCCCCCCCGAGTTTCGTGATTAATCTGTTCCAGAGAGCCTGCCGAAAGTCGAAATTCACGAAACTCGAAACCATTTTCCCCATAAGAAATAATGGAAATAAAATTAATCCGTTCCAGACACCCAAAAATATTGAAATAAAATATTTTTTTTCAAATTAAATAAAGATTTATATACTGAAATCAATGAGAAATCAAGTACATGCATATAAAAAACAATAATAACATTACACTTACCTTTACTGAAGACTTCTGGGTGAATGGAAGACAGGAGGAGGGGATAGGAGGAAGGTGTACACTATTGTTTGGAAGCAGAATCTCCCCCCATTAGGACTTTAGGTAGCAAGTCCTTATTTGGGGTTACTTCCCTTCTTCTTTTAATGCCACTGGGAACAACTTGTCAATGGACCCCTGTCGCACAAAATATCTGTCCAGAGACGTCTTTTTCTGGCGTTTCTTTAAGATTTTCCTTAAGTGGGACACAACACTGTCATTGTACATGTTGCAGATATGGCTTGTTTCAGCTTGGTCAGGGTGATACTTTTCAACAAAACTTTGCAACTCATTCCACTTGGCACAAATCTCCTTAATCTTTGAAGAAGGCACCTCATCCACTCCCTCTTCGTTCTCCTCTGAAGCAAGTTCCTCGGCTGTGGTCTGATGCTGTTCCAGTTGAAGCTCTTGCAGTTCGTCAGTGGTTAGCTCTTCCCTGTGGTCCTCCACCAACTCTTCCACATCCCCGTCACCCACCTCCAACCCCATGGACTTGCCCAATGCCACACCTTCCACAACAGGCAGAGGGTCGGCAGGGACAGGGTCTGCCTCAAACCCTTCAAAATCCCTCTGGATCGTGTTCCTCACTTTATTTACCAAAGGGCTTGCACTAACTTTCCTTGGGTCCATGATGACTTATTTAGCAGTTTCAAGCACAAAAAACAATGGATTATTATGAAATGTATTGTATGAACCCGCGGGATGATGGTCACGTGTTGTAAACAATGGCACACTGAGCGTGAATGGCGTGGGAGACTGGCTTGGTGTGCGCGGTGATGGGCGGATGGGTACCGGACGGTCGCCAAAACACGAGTCTAATCATGAAACTCGAGGCCAAATTTTGCCAAAAAAAAACTCGCCGAAGGTCGAATTTCACGAAAGTCGAGGCTGCCGAAACTCGAAGGTCCACTGTATTTATAAAATGTAAATTTAAGAAGGCAGGGAAAAAACAATGACCATGATAGTGATAGCAGTGGTGATATTTACATCATTCACGTGTAATATGAGAAGTAACCATGATAATGATAAAGATTTTATTTCTTTGTAAAGGTTACAATGTGTAATTACAATTTTGGTTTGTTAAGGACAAAGAAAGCCACTAACATGCCAGGGCATTTCACACAGACTAATCATAGTACATAATAACTACTTAAACCTAAGTAATCAAGGTGGAGGTTTATAAGAATAATAATCTTTAAGTTGCACATAATAAAATCCATATTACAAATAATGGTTCAAACAGTAATATTTCATGGACTGGCAGATGTTTAATAGACTAGAGGTCATATAATATTTGGGAGAGTTGCTTCAAACTGATTAGAAGTTGTTTTGGTTGGTTTGGTAAGTACTGAGAGATGAAATGATTTTTAAGCAAAATCCTAAATTTATAAGTAGTCAGGGGATCCTCTACTGGTTCAGGTAGTGAATTCCAGATCTTCGGGCCCATTATGTGCATTGCATTTTTCCATAGTGTGAGACTGACACGAGGGATGCCAAAGAGTGCCTTACGCTTTGTATTGTGACTATGCATTCTGCTGTATCTATCAATTAGAATTTTAAGTGGAGGGTTTAAATTGGAGTTTAACCCTTTCAGGGTCCATGCCGTAGATCTACGGCTTTGAGTTGAGGATCCAAACCGTAGATCTACGCCATGAGCTCAGCTCACTCTGATGAGCTGTGAGCGGTAAATTTGGGCCTAGATATGAGAGGATACATCTATGTGGTATGTGTGCACCACATATAAATCCTGCAGCACACAGTGCGCAGAGAAAAAAACTGAAACCGTATTTTTCAATTAAAACAGCGACTTTGCAGTGTTTTTTTAGTGTGTTTTTTTAGTATGTTTTTTATAGATGTATTTGCGATTTCTTGGTCTCATTTGATAGAATGAAAGATATATTACATAAATAGAGATGATTTTGATTGGTTTTAGTACTGGAAATGGCCTGAAACTTGAGCTCAAAGTAGAGGAAATGTTAAATTTTTGCCAATGTTCAAGAGTAAACAAATGATCTCACACGTCTAATACACACCAGCTGGTGGGTCTAATATATGTTCACAAATGTGGTGATATTATTTATACAATTATTACAATATTGCATAACAGTAAATCTTCTATTTTTTGGTTTGAATAAAAATTCATTATGTGAATAAAAAATAAAAATGAAATTCATTTGTAAAGCCTCAAAATGTAACTAATGAACAGAAGAAATGTTAGTTTAGTGCCAGGAATGCCTGCATTGTTTATTCTGGACCCTATTTTGAAATTGGAATATTTTGAACGTTGCGTTAAATTGGCCAAATTACCATTTTCCGATCACTTTATTTTGTAGTTGAAACAGTTGAGTTGGTGATTTCTTGTGCTCAATCGATAGAATAGAAGTAATACTAGTGAAATAGCTGAGAATTTGGTTGACTGGAATAATGTAATTGACCTAAAATGGGAGTCAAAGTCAGCAAAATCATAAATATCGCTGACTCATCAAAATTCACAAGAGCATAATTTCCTCAATTTTCCATCAAATTTCGTACTTTTTGTTTTATTACCTTCAGAAAAAGATTGTCTACCATTTCATAAGAAAATAACAATTTTTTTTTTTTTTTTTTAAATTCTTGGACCCTGGTGCACACTTTGAAATTTGGCCTCTGGACCCTGAAAGGGTTAATGTTTTGTATATGTAGTAAGCACAACAATATGAGAGTAAGTCTCATATATTTAGTAAGTTCAGGCTTTTGAAAAGTGATGAGGTGTGCTGTCTAGCACAGGAGCTGGTAATCATCCACACAGCAGCTTTTTGTTGGGTTATTAAAAGTTTAAGATGGTTGGCTGTTGTTGATGATAGTGATAGCAGTGGTGATATTCACATCATACAAGTGTAATAAGTGTGCAAGTGTGCTTGAGCGTGTTAGATAGAAGAAAATGGAGACAAATGTTTTTTAGGACTTGACGTGCTGTTGGAGTGTAGGCAAGGTAACATTTATGAAGGGATTCAGGGAAACCAGCAGGCCAGGCTTGATTCCTGGAGATGGGAAGTACAGTGCCAGTACTCTGAAGGAGGGGTGTTAATGTTGCAGTTTTATTACTGTAGTGTAAGCATGCCTCTGGCAAGAGTGATGGAGTGAAAGATGATGAAAATTTTTCTTTTTCAGGCCACTCTGCCTTAGTGGGAAACGGCTGATGTGTTAATAAAAAAAAAATAATAAGTGTAATATGAGAAGAACCTGGAAGCTGAACAGCCTATCTACTTTTACTCTCCACCATATACAGTACTTGTGCTGTCAGCATAGTTGCTGATCCTGTATATGTATATGTTATTTGATACCTTTATTCCAGAATAAACAACCTACTAGAAGGTTTGCCAGATGGACCTTGACTAACCAAGAGTTCAATCCTACCTTTGAACACTTACCTGGCAAGTCAAATGTAGTCGCAGATGCTTTATCGCGACATGTTAGTACACTAAACGTAGACCCTCCATTTACTGCCGAGGATGTAAAGAATGCTCAAAGAACAGATCCCTTGTGGTTTGGTGTGGTTCGATTCCTGCTCCAGGAAGATCTTATTCTGACTGTGAAGCCACCAGCACCCATTAGTGACTTTGTCATGAGTCAAGAATTACTGTATCGCACAGCCGAGTTGGGTACTCCAAGCAGAAGAGTATACCAATTAGTAATTCCAGTCACTAGTGAATGTAGCTCTACAGCTAGTTCACGATGTACCAGGTGTTGCACACCCTGGTATGGATCATTCTGTGAAACAAGCCAGAATGAAATACTTTTGGCCACGTATGGCAACTGACATTTCCGAGTATGTTAAGAAATGTAGTGTCTGTGTGCAGCATAAAGGAAATGTCAATGGTCCTAATCCAATCCAGGTGTATCTAACTACTAGCAAACCATGGGAAAGAGTTGCACTGGATTTGTTAACCAATTTTAAATATTCCCTCCAAGACAACAAACATCTGTGTTATGGTAGACCATTTCACCAGATATTGTGAGTTAGTTCCTATTGCAGATAAGACTGCCGAGACAGTAGCTAAAGCATTTAAAGAACGCATTATCTGCAGGCATACCACCCCTAAGTCCTTAGTAACAGATAATGGAGGTGAATTCTGTAATGAGATTCTTAAAAATTTGTGTACCTTGTACAAGATCTCTAAATCCACCATTGTTCCTCATTATCCTGCCAGCATGGGTTAGCAGAACGAACCAATAAGAAAGTACTTGATGTTTTGAGAGCCACTATCAACCCCAATAGTGAAACTTGGGATGAAGTTATACCAGATGTTCAATGTGCTATAAATTCTGCTTACAATGCTTCTATAGGTGACACTCCACATTATGCATTGTACAGTGTAGACAAGCGTTTGCCTTATGAGTTGTTATATTCCACACCAAAACCCAATTAACCCTGATGATTTCATAGCAACTCGTACCAGCATAGATCACAGTGTTTTTAGAAGAATCTGTGAAACACTTCGTAAATCAACAGCAGAATTTACTAAAGTAACTAACAGCCATGCTAAGCCGACCAAAGTTAAAGTGGGTTCGAGGGCTATGCTGACTAATTTCAACAAAACATCCACAATGCCTAAGCTCGATCAAAAGTTTGTTGGCCCTTATTGAGTAGTTGAACATATCAATGGCAGTAAGTACAAGGTTAGAGAAATT